CTCCCTGTACTGTTTTGCCCAGTGTGGACGCCTGCAGGCACCCATTGGGAGGAAGGTACTGTCAGGATCCTGCCCTGACTGTCTTTTGTTCAATGTTTCTTTGTTTGTTTTGTGCCTAAGCACATGGTTCTGTCTCTGTTTGTGTCTGCCATGTGCTCTTGTCCCACCTCCTTGTTTCCCCTGGTCACACCCCCTTGTTTAGCCCTTGTCTGCTTGATTGTTTTCACCTGGTCCTTGTGTGTGTGTGTGTGTGTGTGTGTGTGCTGCTCCATATATTGGGTTCCTTTTCCTTGTGCCTCTGCTGGTTTGTTTTGGTGCTTACCTGTTTGTTGGTCCAGAATTTATCCTTTTGATCTTGCTCAAGTTATTTTTTTATCTCTTATCTAGTTATTTTATATCCTCGTTTCCTTTTTGTCTTCTCTAGTTCTGTCTAGTTCTTGTTGTTTGATTGTGTGCTTATCTAGTTTTGTTTCTCTTTTTGATTTAGATTTATTTACTCTTGTTTTTGTGGTTCCAAATTTCCTTTTTGGATCTTGGCTTTTTGTTTTTACTCTTATTTCTTTGGGTAGTTTTGGTTATTTATTACTTTTTTGCTTTGTTCACTTTTTGTTTTCAATTGTCCATCTGGTTGTGTTGTCTTGAGTCTCATCTTGTTTGTTTTGTCCTGTCTTGCCCTAACCCAGATTCCCTGGCCACTGACCCCCACTGCCTGGAAGCAGCTCTCCTCTCTCAGGTGTCAAGTCTCTGGTTCTGTGAGTCCCTACCTGGCGGCTAGACTGGTGCGACATTTGAGTTTCACTTCAAGCTACGGGTTCCCTGTGTTCCTGCCTGGTCCTTCCTCTGGAGCTGCCTCCTCCGTGCTAGAGTCCGTGGCATCTCGGACTGTCTCAGTGGTCATCCCTCCTGCCCGTATTGTGTCGTCTGCCCTGCCCCTCTGTTTGGACTGTATTGACTCCTCATTCCCCCCTGCTGTTCTAGTCTACGTCTTGTTAATAAAATACCATTGTCTGCTCATTTGCATTTTGGTCCCATTTCTTGCAGATCCCTTACAGTTATTTTATATAAAATACATTTTTTTTTAAACGTAATCTGTTCCTGTTATGGCAAAGCTGAATTTTCAGCAGTGTCAGTGTCACATGATCTTTCAGAAATCATTCTATGCTGATTTGGTGCCCAATAAGTTTTTTTTTTTTTTTTTAAATCATACTGATTAAACTTTTGAACAGTGTATAAGAATATAATTTTTCATAAATTGTATTCTAGAATTATATAAAAATATAATAATATAATGTATTTCTCTTACCCCATTAGTAATTTGCTTAAATTGTTTTAAGCATAAAGCATGATGCACATTTTTTTAAATTCATGTTTAAAATTTTAATAAGATTTGTAAAAAATATTTTTAACATTTCATTTATTTTGTGTTAGAGGTATTTAGATATTTTGAAGGTGACTGGGATCACAAGCATCTAAGACAGTCAATTGGCACAGCAGTAGTATACCACAATGATTACTCAACATTTCTTGTGTAGTTCAGCAGCATTCTTACGTTTAACATGTATTTCCACATCAGTCTGTGGATATGTTTGTGGCTAATTATAAAGAATAACTTGAGGCTCTATGAAATAAAAAGCTCTTCAATCTAGTGGTCTGGAATTGTTTTTTTTGGTTTTTTTAATGCTCTGCTGTCACTGCTGTTTAGTGATTTGGGCATCATATAAGACAATAAAATGCTATCAATATCTGTATATTTAAGTATCTAAAACATAAGTATCTGAGTTAAAGTACTTTGTTTTTGGCCATGAATTACAGTCAAACTTAAGAATGAGAGAAAATCAGAGTCAAGACTGATTTAAATCAATGTATGGTAATAGAATGACATTGAGAAGACATCTGATTTGTTACTCATTTATATCAGCTTTATACTGCATGTCTCATTTGTAAGCTTCTTTGGATTAAAACACTTTCTAAATGAGTAAATGTAAATGTAATGTTCTCTCTGTCAGGGAGGAAGGCAGCTTTGTGGTCTGGGAGAGACTAACAGAAGCATAAGCAGTTGCAGTTGCGGTAAACATTCACAGACCTTTAAAGAGTTAATAGACTTATTACTCCATAACCCTGATTACTCCCACACATCCAATACATACACACTAACATACATGTACATGCCTTCCATTGTAGACTGAGTGCAGGTCACAGACGAGCTTTTGACTGATAATGGCATCTAGAATATGTGACAGTGTTCTGGTGACTGGATCAAACCGTGGAATTGGACTTGAGTTGGTTCGCCAGTTGGTTGATTCACCCTTGTCTCCAGTTCAGATCTTTGCTGGTTGTAGAGACCCAAATGGACCAAGATCACAGGTAAGAAGCCATGCTAACACTGTATAGAAAAGTTCAACTGGTTTACCTGTGTGCAATTGGTAAGTTAATTTCTAAATATATACTGCTGTTCCTTGTTAATTAATGTTTGTTCGTAATTGATGTTAACTAATTTTAATTATTTTATAAAACTTAATTACTATACTTAATTATATTGTATAATTAATTTACAAAATTATACAATTCAGTTAATTTATACAACTTGAAATGTTAAAGGTTCATTTAGATTTAAAAGTACTGTTAACTGTTACTTCATGGTATCTAAAAAAAACATGTTAACAAATCTTATTGTAAAGTGTTTCTGAAATCATAAAAATCATATGTTTTCAATGTTGTCAATGATGTTGTCATTGCCATTTAGCATAAAGTTTTTGTTTAAATTCAGTAAATGCCAATGCACTACGTGCTATATGAAAAACAAATTGTTTGAACTTTGTACTATCTGTACTATTTGAGTTTTACAAAGACGACATAGATGAGTCATTGTGGCACTGAAACTTGTTGGGCAACTCTGCTGTTTCTGTGCTGCATTTAAAGGGTGAAGTGTGACACGTAATGTGTGTGTCATTTTATGAAGATGTGTATTTCTAAAACATCCTGGAAAGCACTTCCAACTGCTTGTCTTCTAGGATCTCCAGGAACTAGCTCAGAAGCACCATGATGTGATCACGGTTGTCCAACTTGGTAGGAGATTAATAATAAAATAATGAACGTTGTTGTAATTTTGTGGTTGAGTCATGATTCTGTTCATTACCTAGATTAAAGGATTGGTTCACCCAAAAATGAATATTTGCTGAAAATTGACTTGGCCTTAATCCATCCAAGATGTAGATGAGTTTGTTTCTTCATCAGATTTGGAGAAATTTAGCATTACATCATTTGCTCAGATTATTGTGATGTTTTTATCAGCTGTTTGGCATCCATTCACCGCAGAGGATCCATTGATGAGCAAGTGATGTAATGCTACATTTCTCCAAATTTGCTCTGATGAAAACACAAACTCATCAGATTTTCAACATTTTCAATTTTGGATGAACTACTCTTTTAATCTAATATAATGTTGGTTTACCTACTTTCTCAATAGACATGACCAGTCCTACTAGTATCGCAGAGGCCTCAAAACTGGTGGAAGCCAAGCTGAAGGGCAAAGGCCTGAATCTGATCATCAACAATGCTGGTGTGAACATCCCAGGATCCCTAGCAGAGACAGGAATGCAGGAGATGGTGAACGTGTACACAACCAATGTTGTAGGACCCATGCTCATCGCAAAGGTGGGTGAACCTTCAACACTGCAACAAATGATTGTCTTACTTAGTCTTGTTTTTCATTATAAATATCTAAAAAATTGTATGTGACTTAAGATATTAAGTATTATTCTTTTAAAAAATGTATACAAATTAAGTATGCTCTAAACAAGAAAAACATCTGTCAATCGGGTAAGAAAGATAATCTTGTTTATCCTTTAAATAAAGGTTTTTGTTCTTATTCTTACTCCACTGACAGATATTTTTTTCTTTTTTTTTCAAAGCATAAACTCACTTTAATTTATTTTATTATTATTATTATTTATTAATTTTTCCCCAGTAAACAAGACTTATTATCTTAAAGACTTAAAGTCATTTTGCCCCTTCTTGATTTGACAATGTTTAGATATTTGTACTGGAAAACAAGGCAAAAATTTTATTGTGTAACATTTCCCCTTTACGGTAAATGACGTTAATTCATTTTCAGGATTTCCATCCCCTCCTGTGCAAGGCTGCAGCTCAGTTTCCTCATCAAACCAGCATGTCTTGCAGTAGGTCAGCTATTATCAATGTCTCCACACTGCTGTCATCCATCACCAGATGCCCTGAGAATTTCTCTGTGTCTCCAATGTACCCCTATCGGGTCAGCAAGGTACCTTATCGAGCCCTTTTACTGTAATCCATAGACAACAAAACATAAACATTTCTTCAAGTATTATTAACCATAGGCTTTATTTTACTCATAAATCACTATTAAAAATATTACATCTTGACTGTTTCTTTACTTCAGGCAGCACTGAACATGTTAACTTGCTGCTTGGCGGAAGATTTAAAAAAAGATGGCATTCTAGTTATGTCTCTCCATCCAGGATGGGTCCAGACAGAAATGGGAGGCCCAGAGGTAATACAAAGCGCTTGTTACAAATGTGTTTTTACATTCATCTCAGACTGGTTTACTTCCTTTGGCAGCCTCACATTTGACATTTTTCTCGTGGCACCCTCAGGCTCCCCTGACGACACTTGAGAGCATCAGCAGTATGATGAAAGTCATCACAAGCCTCACCGAGAAAGACAGTGGAACTCTTTTAGATTGGGAAGGCAAAAACATCCCCTGGTGATTACGCAACTCATCTTGTGTGTTGTGTTCACATCTTAAGTTTGACATGTACTTCCACTTTTTTGTCTGTCTGCGGTTTGTCTGAGAAAAATGTTACAAACAGCAATTCTAGTATAAGACGTGGTATTTATTTACAGGTTCACAAACTTTGTAAAACAGCAATGAAAAATATGCTATCATATTAGTGTAATGCATGTGAGGAAGATTTCATATAAAAACATGAAAACAGGTTTCTTATGCCTTGAAGTTTCCCCCAACTGATATTTGTATTGCAGTCTTTCCAAATTAAATATTAGCAATTGTAATAAAATTAGCTGTGAGACAATGGGAGAATGGATAAGTAAATAAAGGAAGATGAGGAAAATGTAAAAGAGAGAGCCAAAAGAAACAATAAAATGATTTACAATAATAACAAAGAAAAATAATTGTGAGAGCTTTCCTGCCACTACATGTCTCATATATTTAGTGAATATCGCGATCTTCAATCATCCAAAATTACATGGGTACAGTACGCCCTCTAGTGTTTAAGAAATATACCCATTTTAGTGCAGTGGTTTTCAACCCTTTTGATTTAAAGGCCAGCTGTACTTATTTATTTATTTATTTATTTATTAAGGTTATGTTCATATAACTCAGTTCAAATAATTTTAAGACTAAATTGGCCCCCCGTTGAGAACCACTGGTTGAGTAACTTACATACATAACTTACATAGGCCTACATAATAGCTGCTTATGTCTCATCAATACAGTATGGAGATGCAGGAGTTAAAGATATGATAAGGTTTGTCCAACCCATGTCATCACGGATCTAGTGTTTACTCATCTTTCGACGTAATTCTTAACCCTGTTCTGAAAGCAAGTCATATACTCCCAGTCAGAGAAAAAAAGGTAGATCGATTATAGCACTGAAATGCTAGAAGACTTCCAGAAGAAGCAGCGGCCAACACTATTGAATTGTTCTGTTAGATTGATTTAGAGTGAAACTCATGAAAACGTGTCCTGGTCATTTCACCTCAAGTAAGAAATTATAGTCTACATAAAGAATATTTAACTTATTGAATATCTATAAAAAGAATCGATCACAAAAGCCATATTTAATGTGTGTTTTCTGTTTCAAAGTATATATTTTAATATTTTTAACGATATTTTTACTTTTTATTTATTTTTTTGAAAAAGAAAAAGAAAAGAAATTTAATGGCAGGTTCCAGTGTGACAAACTACCCCATACGTTTTATGATGAGAGATATATATATATATATATATATATATATATATATTCTTCACATTTTATATTTACAAAGCTGTAAACTAAGAAAGTCTTCAAATAAAAAAAACAGTAGGCTACATCAATAATTAATTATAAGATAAATATTATTATGTTTAAACTTAGAGATAGCTGGAAGTTTACTCTTACTGTGTTTGACACTAATGGGATTTGTTTAAAGGTGACCTAATCAATCAGTCTGACAAAAGAATCAATCATACGAGGTTCCAGATTTCGATTGGCTTGGCAGCAAGTCAAGTGATTGATTGACAGTGGTCTCGCCGTGTTGTTATGTTGAGGAGAGAACTGACTGTTGATTTTTCATTAACTGTCAGCTGCCTCATAGCGATACTCCCGTAGTCCTGTGAAAACAAGGACAGGAGGGTTTCTTTTTTTCCTCTCAGCTTTGAAACTAAAAGGGGTAGGCATAAACAGACGCCTCTGGACAGTGGGCGTACACGCTTCACGCGCTGCTAGTTAAGATTAAAACTAATTTACGTCAAATTTATGCTTAGTTCTTCACAAGGGATTTAGTCGCTTGGACATACCATACTCCTCAGGTAGGAACCTTATAGTGGATAAATATAGCCTTGTTAGAGAGCATGCTTGTTTTTGAGAGGGTACATTTGAATAATTATGGCATGTTTTGGGTATGTCAGTAATAACAACAACTAAATTTTTGATTATTTCTTGTAAATATTTGCTCGTTTTGACGTGAGGCAGCTGTTTGACTTCATTTCCCATCATTAATCATTATTCGGTTGAAGAGGAGTTTTGCGCCAGTCTGGGATATTCCCGATATTCCCACTTTACGCCCCGATTCAAACAGAGGTTGTCTTGGAAACCGAGAGTTTGTTGCCTTCTAGTAAGGAGGGTCTGACTGTTTGTTTGTGAGGAGAAATCAGAAAAAACTTTGTGGTAAGTGGCAAGTGCATATCCTGGGTTCTGGACTTGCTCATGTGAAATAATGAAGTTCTTCAAATAATTTGTCAATTGTGGTGGGTTTGACCACCAGTCAGTAAATTGGCCCTCTCTCATGTATTACACTTTATAATGGATGGCTACTCTGTAAATAAGTCAACCTGAATGGTTTATAAATGGGTGTTCTTCAACTGTGCACTGTGGCCCTCTGAATGCTCTTAAAACATTTTTCACACTATTTTAATTTATGTGCTAACAATTTCCATCATGTACTGTATATATATATATATGAATCACGGGAGAATTCTGTAATTTTTGTCAGAAAGTTTTCAACAACAATGCCTTTCCCAGCACATCTTAAATGAGATGATGGACGTGACATTTTAAATAATTCAAATAAAATTGAAACCAGATGTCTCAAACTCTTTTGTTTAGCTAAGGCTAATTTCATGGCCAGCATTTTATGTATCCTAAATACGCACAATTAAGTATTTTAACTGTTTTAATTGTTGATTTCTTGCATAATTTGACAAAATTAAGGCTTGATTGCAAATGAGAAGCAATACAAATATTTATAAACAAGTAGGTCTACAGCGCCTTTAAAAGCAGGGACAATGGGTGGAACAAGTGCTTTTGAAAAACTAATTTTGAAAAAAAAAATAATAATTACACAAATATTGAAATGGTCGATATTTGTTGTTTATTTAATTGTTCTTGTTTTGATCATAAACTTTAAACACATAATTAATTTTTCATTTACAGTAGCCTACATTCATATTCATAAGATTTCATTGAATTTCACAACAAATTCTTGGTCTAGGACAAGGATAAATCAATTAAATCTATACATAAAAGGCATTTGAAAAGTAGCAAAAAATAAACGATAAAAACAGTCAAATGTTTTATATTAAAAATATTGCCTCCATGAGCATTTAGTACCTTGACAGAAAGTGAAATAGCTGCAGCTGATGTGCCATGTTACACTCTTATCACTTCTGAAAGAATTTTACATAGAAATGTACATTCCAGAACAAGTCACCACCACCTCCTGCTTTCACGCTTCTGTTCTGTTTTGGCTCAGTTCTTCTTTGAGGGATTGAGAATTGTATTTAGTTGACTCCATTTATAGAACAGATGGTTAACAATTAAATATAACAACTATTTACTGAAATCGGAAATGTAGTCATTAACAACGCAACATAAACTTCAGCTCTTCCCCTCTGACTCTACAGAATGTGATGACTCTGGGTTTTCTCAGTCGGCTACTTATCACAGCGAATAGTAAAAGACAAGTAAATTTACATGCAGTGTAAGAATCAAACAAAATGTTTCTTTATGTAAATTTTCAAATAAAATTCACCGGTCAAAGTATTAACAGAATAGATTACCACAAATAAAATCATTTGGTGTAATGTTTAATTGAGGATAAAGTTGACTCACTTAACATGAGAAAAATGAGAGGAAAGCAGTTTTTTCTCTCTCTGTTGATCAAGCAAACCAGAAGGAAGTGCTTTTGCCCTGGGGATTAGCTTTCTATTTCACGGTTATCTACATACATACACATTCACTATATCTGTATACACACAAAGGCACAAGAACAATTTTCTGTACCTTGTTGTTATAGAAAGCACTTTGTCAATGCTGCAGTATTTTACGTGCTACATTAAACTATGTGTCCTTCATTTACTGTAGAGCCCTGTGCTAGTGTTGCGTGTCAGTGTTTTGGGCAGCTGTTCGCACAGGTCTTCTCTTTGACCTCAGTCTAGTAGTGGTCAGCAGAAAATAAACAGCCGTGAGAGGGAAAAAAACAGGGACATGACATATTACATGTAGACACATTGCCTGAGCCGTGTTTTACTCTCTGAAGCTAAAGTACAGATTTTGTTCTTTCAGTTTGTTTCTCTCACGGTTTCTAGTTTCCTCCTCAGTCTCTGTTGACTGTCACACGTCTGCTCTCTGCTTACTTTTTTATCTCTATTACAGTCCCACAGATTCCATTGACTCACACTTTAAAGCAATAGTTCACTCATTATATAATTTTGTGTTGTGAGCTTTTGAAGACTCTTTACATAGTAAAACACATCTTAAAAGCACCATAAAAGTAGTCACAATGTATTTCAGTCATTCTAAGAGAGCTCACATTTTTAACACCTAAAATGGGGAACAAATCTGAGAAAATTAGAAAATCCTTTTTCATGTTCCTTTGTTTTTTTGTGTTCATTAAAGATGTTATGGTTAAATTAAAGAACACACACTGATCTAGAAATATTGATCACATTTGCAAATAGAAATGTGCAGTTAAACAACATTGAAATATTGATCACATTTCCGAAGGTTGATTGAGTTAATAGGAATAATAGGAATGTAGTGTATACAAATAGATGCACAACAGAATGTGCGCGCGCACGCGCACACACACACACACACACACACACACACACATACACACACACACAACTTATACTGCATTACAGTTTTTTTTAATCCTTTAAGCTCATATAGAATGGAGATAATAAAGCTTATTTATGCAAATTTTATTTATACCCTCAGGCTATCCAAGATGAGTTTGTTTCTTTTTCGGGACAGATTTGGAGAAATTTAGCATTACATCACTTGCTCACCAATGGATCCTCTGCAGTGAATGGGTGCCGTAAGAATGAGAGTTCAAAAAGCTAATAAAAGACATCACAATAATCCACAAATAATTGACATGACATGGACTCCGGTCCATCAATTAACATCTTGTGAACCAAAAAGCTGAGTGTTTGTAATAAAATCCATCATTAAGGCATTTTAACTTTAAATTGTTGTTTCTGGCCAAAATACAAGTCCATAATCCATAACAACAGTCCATGCCCTGTTGTCCTCTCACATCAAAATCCACCAACATATTTGTTTAGAACTATTTTAAACTGTTTTTGAGGACGCTTGTTTTAGCCACAGCTAAAATTTGATCGGCCTCTTCAGTGCCCCGTTATGGGAAATAATTACCACATAAAAGCCACATAATTAATATAATAATTACTTTGTTCTTGCCCTCAGGAAAACATTTATTTGCTCACATTTTCTATAAAGTATTCAAACAAGGCTTATACAAACATAAATAATGAAATGATATCCAACAGTTTTGTTTATGATACTGCTCCTTTTATTATTTGAAAATCTCTGGTAATGGCCTGATCAAAAGAATTAAATGAAAAATAGATTTTTTTTTAACATCATGTG